TGTGAACTCTCACTTACTTCTGTGTTTAATGCTTACAGGCTACAGCAGAAATGTAGTGGTCAGCGTTTTTAGCAGATGGCTCCAGTTTTACTCACACTAGCAGAAATAATAGAGATAAGAAAGAGGGGTAGTTAGTTTTGCAGATGTCTGATTCAAGGTCGCAGAGACTGGGAAAGTTTTCTCACAGGCGTATGGGAACTTTTCTAATTGTAACGGCTAGAGAAGGGAGAGGTGGGAGTAGTAAGAGGGAGTAACAGACAAAGGCTTACACAGAAACTGTTTGGGGTATAAAAGGTAAAAGTTATTTGTATTTGTTGCACTGGATTTGAGACATGCTGGTCTCCTGGTGCCATTTCAGAGCTCTGAAATAAACTTGGCTTGCTTTCTCCCCTCGGTGTCTTTATTGGTGCCAAGCACACCGGGCGACGGACCATTTTAGTCCGCCTCAAGCCTCTCAGGCGGTAACAGTTACTCAATATATTGTTAAAGGTCTTCTCTGTATGCAGTGGACAACCTTTGAACTAATAAAGGCAATTTTTAAAAAGTCACATCTTCAAGTATATTTAAATAAACTTTTACAAATATATTTTACTACTTTATAAGTTATTTTTGAAGTTATTAAAGCATGACTGTACTGAATAACTTCACTTTCCAAGTATCAGAGGGGTAGCCGTGTTAGTCTGAATCTGTAAAAAGTAACAGAGGGTCCTGTGGCACCTTTAAGACTAACAGAAGTATTGGGAGCATAAGCTTTCGTGGGTAAGAACCTCACTTCTTCAGATGCAAGACACCTTTGACTTGCATCTGAAGAAGTGAGGTTCTTACCCACGAAAGCTTATGCTCCCAATACTTCTGTTAGTCTTAAAGGTGCCACAGGACCCTCTGTTACTTTTCACTTTCCAAGTGACTGAAAACACACTGCTAAATGCTCAAAAAAGCAGAGGAAAACCCCTACATCTGGCCTCTATTGCAATTTAAAGCAGGCTCAGAGCTGTTCTAAATCACATCAACTTATAATGACCCCACAGGCCATGTATCACCCTCACGGGACGGGGATGTACAGCATAGAGCTGAAGATGTCAGCTGCATTCTAGCTGGCGTTTAAAGCAGCTTTCAGGCCACTAATCTATATTATTTAATTTTGTTTAAACAAAGTGAGTACATTTTGTTACCAATCTGAGGGACTGTTTACAGTAATAAGGCACTTCAGGTCATGTGGTGTTACAGAGTTCACTACTTCTGAGACTCATAATCTGCATGAAGCATAACAATGACAATGACAATAGCAATGACATACACTATGTTATAACTTATTCCTTTATGACATCATGGAAATATTTCTGATAAAAAAAGATAAGTAGTTACATGTGAGGTGGCCAATTCCACTAAGCTCTGGAATTATTTCACTTTCATTCTCTGGACCGGAAGCATTTCTGGTCCCCTACAAAGACTCTCCACTTCTTTTTAGTCTCTTTCCTTTTATGATCACCCCTGGAATTATAACCTCCACAGAGAGTGTCCTCAAGCTAGGTCTTCCCTCTATTCCATCACAGACCACATACAGGGACCCAGAGTCCCTGTCATGGCAGAGAAGATTCTCATCATCTCTTTGGATTACTTCTGCTAAAGGATGGACTTTGCCTCAACAATGAATCAGGAGGCTGAGTTTCCTTTTAATTGAATTAATGTATGTAACTGTCCACTTTAACAAGAGTATGATTATACTATCATTACAGTATCTGGAATGGGAGTAATATTTTATTAAAATTTAATTAATTTTTAATTATCTATTGGTAGGAGGGGGTTAGGATGGAACAAAACATCACCAAGCCACAAAAATGAGTTCCCAATATCACAGCATATGGCCCAGCTGTTGAACATAAAAAGATAAGATTTTGATCTACACGCAAGTCCAGATCAACTTCATTGTTCTCCATTTTTTAAACCAGAAGTGTTGGCATGATCCTCAGTGGAGTTATTCCAAATTTACTTGGGTATAAGAGAGATCAGAATCTGGCCCAAACAATCTGTTATGCCACATTGAGAGGTGACAATAATATCACAGGCAGAGCTTGTTTTTAGTCCACTGTCTTCGTGGGCATTTTTCTCTAACATATCATGCATAAATATACCTTCTGATCATGCTGAAACATGTAATTATTAAATAAATTACTGAGTTGTACCTTTTTACCCCACTACTTGGACTGCATTCTTTTTCTCACACAAGAAATAGCTATTGTGTCACTGGCATTATTTTCATGTTGTTACTGTAACAAATCTATAGACATTTAGGAATTCCACTGTTATCACTATACTGTACATCATCATCATTAGCAGCTTCGTGGCAACAAAGGAAATATACTTCAGATGCACCTTTACCGAACACTCAAGACCCTAATACTTAAACGAAATAAAATCTTTACTAGCTCTTATCAGTACAATGCCCTGTGACAGTTGAACAGTTCTTAATCTATCCAGTGGACACATGTATTAGTCAGTTCATTACTGCACATTAACAACTGATACTACTGATATATCTAGTGAAACTGAAGGGGCCTCATCACAGACATGGGTGGGGGGAGGAACAGTAAAATAATTAGTCCACCAGTACTATTTCTCTATATTTTATGTTTCTACAGTTAAATCAATAAAACACTAATGACTATAGTAAACTAACTTACTGATCAACAATGAAAGTGGCAAAAAATCTGAGGCACATACTTATTCATCTGTTGTCTTCTACACAACTGTTGTCTGTTACCCTTGACCTCTGGTGACAAGCAATACTTAATTGTCATTTTAGGTCATTCCTAGTGATGTCATTTCATACAGGGTAACATTAATGACAATAATACATAGTCCTCTGTTTTTAAATGTACGCATATTTTAAAATGTAGGCAAGATATTATATTTTTGTTTTTTAACCTCTCTTTTAACATTATAATTAATGTAAAGTCAACACATGATTAAACAGACCATACTTTTATGTACAATCACTCCTGCGTGAAATTCTGGCCCTACCGAAATCAAAGGGAGTTTTGCCATTGACTTCAATGGGGCCAGGATTTCACATTTTATTTTTCGAAATTATCATTCAGTCAAGCACACATCTGGAGTCATCACAATTTGCTTGATGGTTATTTTTTTCAGTGCTGAAATTAACACAGTACCTATAAGAAATTAAATGTAAATCATTTATTCACTAGTTAACGTTACAATCAAGAGCTGGGGAGAGACTTGTACATTGAACACAGTCCTTCCTCATCTCTACTTTTTCTGTATGTGTTATATCTCACTTGTCTGTCATGTCTATTATTTAGATTATAAATTCCTCAGAGCAAGGGCCTGTCTTAAGTGTTTTCTGTTAAGCTTCTAATACACCTGTGGGCATTACAAAAGCACGTATCTTCTGAACACAGGAGTGAAAGGAGAGTAATGCTCTTGCATTTACAAAGCACTTAAACATCAATCCTCACAACACCTCTGAGATGAAGGTAAGTATCACTAGCCTCATTTTATGGATTGGAAAACTAAGAGAGAGAGGTTAAGTGATTTCCAAAGCCACAAAATAGAGTTGGTGCTACAGCCAAGATTAGAAATCCCATGTATTATATGAATGTGTATTTGAAATATACACCATTACTTTTCAATACTAAATATTGGTTTAATTTAGGGAACTTAATTTACCTTTAGAAATTAACAAGATCAGTTTACCTGGCTACATCTGGCACCACCTCCTTTAGCATCAGCTTGACAGATACTGATGCCACCACTGCATGTTAGACTGTGGTGGCCCTAAGGGGTAGAACTCATTCCACATGGATCTGCTCCCAAGTTCATAACCCCCCACTTTTAAAAATCCCTTTATTCAGGTGGTTTTGGTACTATAGTCCATAAAGTTTTAATTGTTTACCCATTTATCATTGCTGCTATTAATTATTTCTGCAACACCATGACATGGGGCACTTTAGAAATATTATTTCATTTTGAAACTAAAAATATCCTTGTGGCTTTTTGGTCTTATCAAGTCCTCACATTCTTTAAAAAACACACACAGACATAATTTCCACTGACAGCAGTGCCATCTGCTGTCATAGCTGACGTTATTAACATTCATCACTGAATAAGAACTTTTGCAGTTTACGCTCTCTATTTTAAAGAAGCAATTTTACATCTGATTTTACTCAGACACAAAAATTAGAAAATGCTAATGGCAGCATTGTTTCCCTGAAAGGAGGTGAAGAAAGGACATCTCCACATTCTTGACAGGGGCTTGAGGGTGTCCTCCAACTTTCCATGCTTATTCACAGTCTAAATCTCTCAGCCCATCTGATGTCGTATTTACAGGAGAGTGCACAGCACAAACCATCAGTGCCACTCTAAGGCCCAGTTCACAGTTCAGTTACAACCATGTTTTTGTAACCAATTTGTGACACTTTCTTGACCACAATTTACAACAAACATGGTTTGAGTTTTGGCCATTCTTCAGCTTCTCTCTTTCAAAGCAGTGGGTGAACAATTGTAATTATAATGTAGTACCCAACCTACTGCCTAATCTTGTTTGTTTGTTACATTCTGGGGAAATCAGAGCAGCTGCCCTGCCGCACCTCAGCAAGCGATACGACTGTCCAAAAGAAAAACACAAAGAGCAACATCAGCAGCACATGTCTTACCACAGGCAAGGTTAGAGGGTCCATACACAATGCAAAAAGAAAGTGTTCTTAACCAGTCTCAGAAACACAATCACATGCAAAATAAGGCATCTGGCAAGGGTGAAACTGTTAGCTGCAATGTTTAGTAACTTAGTGTTAACCAGATGGTGTGCACACACAAACCATAGCCAAAATTTTCACACTCCACTGCCCAAATGTAAGCTTTTACACAAATAGCCTGATTTTCAAAGATGATGAGCATCCTCAGCTGTCATCTCCAATTGAAGTTGTAGGCACTTGACACCTTTGAGAATCAAGCCATTTATTTAAGAGCTTACATATTGACTTAAGAGCAGTTATGCCCCCAAATTTGAAAGTCTTGAACCCATGTTTAAAGTCAACCATGTTACTAACTGGTTACAAAGTTAGCTAAAATTGTAATGTGAAAAGGGCGTAATTGATCATAGTAGGCTGGGGGGCAGTTATTTAAATAACATGAGGCATTGCTTGCTCCCAGAGATTCAATGTTTCCTTTGTTAGCAGCCCTTGCCAACCCAAAGAAAGACACTGTAGTTCTAAGTCTGACATCCATCTAGATGACCTTTGCCTTGTTAGGCTTCTCAGGAGATTTAGTCTATTTGTTTGAGTTCCTATCAGCCATGCCATGGTGACAGGACAGGACCTTATCCTAAGAGGCTGACAGAAAAAGCATCTTGCTTCTCTAGCTCCAAGCACAGATGCAGAACTTCTGGCAGGAAGCTGAAGGGGCGATCCACCTGAAATGCTATCCCAATATACAGTTTTCTTCCAGCAACCCTGAACACAATAAAAACAGACAAATCCTCTCTCAAAGACTGGCAAATGGATATTAGCACAAGACACAAAAAGAGCTCTGTATAAGCTCGAAAGAAGTTGGCCCAATAAAAGATATTACCTCAGCCACCTTGTTTCTATTAAAAAAAAAAAAAAACTGAGTTAACTTTAACTTTCAGAGGACAAATGCAACCTCAAAAAACTCAAGATGTTTAAAAGGATATAAACACTAAGTGCCTGAATTGTTGTGACACTCCTATAATTAAGAATCCAAAGGATTCATTTTTTCTTAGCTGTGCAAAGATCTCTAAGATAGCACTTCACTATCTACACCTAAAAAATGCTATATATTAAAAATGTATCATACCTAGAAGATAGTTCTGCTGACTGTTTGGTGGTATATTTTCTTTAGCCATAGAGATTAATGCTTTGCTGGTCTCAGAAAGCTTCTCTGCACCTTTGCTCTGAAAAGAAAAAAAATGTAGGTCTTTGCAAGAATAGATAAGGGAAATAGCCATAACATACCTGAAACATGATTTAACTTTTGACTGGAAAACAGAGGGTTTTGGTTATTTATTTAATACATGTAATAGACAGTGTATTTCATGGATATTAAAAAGTAGCTCCCGTATTAATGCAATAATTACTCTGCTACATTTGATCCCCAACACCACTTCAAATTGATTATGTACTCACAGGGATTTCATAGCCTATCCATGCTCGGTATTTTTCCCCAAGAGATCTGATCCACCTTACTTGGCACCATGCCTAGTCATCTGCTAAATCAGTGATTTTCAACTGGTTTTTCCTTTGTGGACCCCTAAAAAAAATGCGAATGGAGGTGTGGACCCCTTTGGAAATCTTAGTCTGTGGACCCCCAGAGGTCCACGGACCACAGGTTGAAAACTACTGTGCTAAATGAATATCTGGGCCTGGTGGGTCAAGTTCAGACCAGTGTCTCCACTGTGCGCCCATACCCACCCAAACAGTTCAACAGGGATGACGCGTTCATCTCACCCCACTCCTTGGAGCTGCTCTGAACAGCGGTTAGGCAGCAACTTTAGGGGAGGCAAAGATGAAAGCCTGTCTCCTCTCACCACCCTCAACATTAAGCTATTATAGAGAATCATGGGTACATAATCACGCAAGAAAACATGAGGACCATGCAAGAGACACCAGGAAGGGGGGGCGGGGGGAGATTATAATGGGTGCAATAAGAAATAGTAAACACAGCAAAGAGACAAATAGAAGAGATAAACAGAGGAGGGCAGGCAGAGGAAGGGAAAGAATAAATACAGGATTGGTGAACCGCAAAAAAACGTATTCTAGAAGCAGGAACTCTGACTAACCTTCCCCCACCATCCCAGAAAAGAGTCCCAGGATAGGCGAACAGGAACCTAAAATCAACTGCAGGCAGGATAATGGGAAGCATGAGATGGAAAGGAAAGTTTAATTAGAAGTAAACTACTTAACTTTAAAGTAGGGCTTGCGTTTGAGGGTCATTGGCTACCAATTCAATAAGCACCAAAAATTATTAGACTTGGTAACTGAAAGACAGTCAACACCCCCACCCCAAACTAATTTTTGCATCCCCCTTCAAAAGTGAAAAGCAGTGAATTCCCTTCATTTGAAATACTGCTCGAGGGAAGTGAGAGACAAACCCCTCCAACAAAGATTAAATTAAATCCTTGTCTCAGAACATGATTTGAGGCATCTATAGCCAAGCATATCGGTTCAAGACTGCAGTCAATTAGTATTGAAATTTATCATGCTGATGTGTGGATTATTTCTGAGTTTTCTGCAGACAGTAGCTGTAACCTGTGAATTTGTAATTAAATACTACTAGTTAACAAATGGAAGACTCTCTCTGATCACACGTCATTTTGGACAATAAAAGTGCTTACAAACGTTTTGAAATTTTATTTCAAATTTCAGCATTGCAATACTGCAATACTTGGGTTGGCAACATCCATAATGGAATGTTTATTTGTGAATAAAACAATCTGCGAACATACCCAAACCACAACCCACCCCAAACATCTGACCAGATATGTTTTGCAGTGTGCCCTAGATGTCAATATGCAGACTAGGTAGGATGGCAAATTCCAAAGTCTCAACCTGACTCAAAGAAAGACTTACTAGCAACTCCTTCTCTTACATACTGAAGGAGGTAAGCAAGTCCCCAAGCCAGTTAGGGCTTTATAGGTCAGAACCAACAGGTGCAGACATACAATGCTGACTAACCAAAACCTTCTCTTCATCAAGGGCATGATTCAGGATAGCTAGGACAGAGTCATAGAAATCATAGGAAGGCATAAAACTTTCTCCATGTAAGTACTCCCATTACTGAGCAAATTAAGGTGATCTGCAAGATTATCAAATCTTTATAGCTTTAGAATTAGGTGCCCAGCACTCAAACAGGGCAAGGGGTATGCCAGCCCAAGTTTTTAAAGAGAACCTTCTCCCACATGTAGCCCCAGTATCCAATCACATTATAAGCACCAATGTACAACTACAGAGCTAGCCAGGGCCGGCTCCAGCATTTCTGCCACCCCAAGCAAAAAAAAAAAAAAAAAACCCGCGACCCCGACCGGCGGCGGCAATGGGAAAAAAAAAAAAAAAAAGCCGCGAGCGGCGGCGGCAGTTCAGCAGCAGGTCCTTCACTCCTAGAGGGAGTGAGGGACCTGCCGCCCCCAAATTGCCGCAGGTGCCGCCCCCTCTCCCTGCTTGTTAAGCTGGTGCCTGGAGCCAGCCCTGGAGCTAGCAAGGGTGTCAACAGGGGTAAGGCAAGTAATTAGTTTTCTGACCCTTTTCAAAATATTGTATATGTTTGGAAACTTTTGAGCAATATTGGTGAAAAAACATATTTATTGGACATCCTCCCATAGGTACCTGCATGTTCCAGCTCATATCATTCAGATGCATCTCTAACAATGAATTCAGCCCTACTCTTGCAAACACAAGCATGTGCATAATTTTACTCATCTAAGAAGGCCCACTGAAGTCAATGAGACTACTCATGTCAGTAAAGTTATGCACATGCTTAAATATTTGCAAGACTGGGGACTTTATCGGTACTTTTTACAAGAAAAAATACTTTTGATACCTCATGGAGTCTCGATGCTGCAATGCTAACTACAACTTCTTAACAACACTGGGGGGTTTCTCTACTTTGAAATAATTCTGAAGTATTGTTTAAGTGAAAAGTTTTTGAATAAACAGTGACAATCCCTGATTATGATAATCTGTACAAAAATAAAACAGCAAATAAATTTCACATGGCAAAAACATTAACAAAATTTACCTATGACCATATTTTTTAAATAAAGCAAAAAAAATTGACATTGTTTAGTGTGCTCCTAAATAAACAGTAAATACCTGAGACACAAAATACTCAAAAATATATTCTAGTAATAAAGAAAGAACTATCAGGTTAAAAATTTAATATTTTTAGTGTTCTTACCTGTGGTATGAATAGTACCTTATTGAACTGACCATAAAAAAATTTACTTATTTGTTTATGCTATTTGTACTGTTTATTTTTTGCATTCGTTAAGCTTGGATAATGAAAGCAGACATTCATTTCTAGGCAATTTTACTTTGAGGTTCTCATGTACAAGAGCAATTCTTGGGTTGGCTCCCATTCGAATTTAGAAAAGCCATGAAAACTTTTATATTGGTATTCACATTTGTGAATGTTTATTTAAAAAGTTAAATGTGGGGGCAAATTTGATTTGACAGTGTCCCTATAAGCAAAGATGGAGAAAGACACCTTAAAAATTATTTTACAACAGGTAACTCAGTAATACAATACCTTTAAAAAGAAGAAACTCTTATCAGTACAATAGAAGCAGACTTAAACCAAGATTCCAACAATAAAACTGTTTGAAATAGGTAGATAATGTAGTAGTCTTACCCTTATCTCCATATAAGGAGGATCATTTTCAAGTTCTGCTTTGTCATGTGCCAACTTGGCCTTTTGATCTTCAATAAACTGGTCTAAATCATTTGCCATCATTTCTTCAATTCTAGGAAAGATACGTATCATTGTACTAATATGGTTCCTCTTCAGTATCAGCAGAAATTTACTATCAGTTAAACTATTAATAGCCTTAATCAATTCAAGTTTAGTCATCAAATTACTGCATTGATCTGCCTAAGAGGTGCAAATGTTAAAAAATGTTAAAAGACAACCTCCTCCCTAGAGATATCTGATCTAAAATATTGCAACCTTTGACATTTCTCTTCAGAGAGAAATTAAGATTCCAAAAGACAGTCCCAATAATTTTTTCAAATATAGATTATTCTATTCTCTTTTAAAAGATTTTTCTTTAACAAAATAATTTAATCCAGTAAGAAAACAATACTGAGCAGCTCCTAAATATGACAGATTTTCAACTGCTAAAATCGCTGAAAAGAATATTTAGCACTGATTAGTTTAGCAGTTTAAATTGGGAATGAGATCAGAGGAATGCCATATCCTCCCACATTTTCCACCTATAGAAGGAGGGGAGAAAAACATCAAGATTACTAGTCAACATGATGCAAAGAGGTAGGGAAAGAGACCCATTACAGAGCCTATAGTTGATATGATGTATTATAATTGTACTGTGTTCCAATAACTGATTATTTTATGAGTAAATAAAACTCCAGTTCAATGTTGTTGCTTTAAACCTCAATCCTGCAAACACTTACACCCACTTAACTTCGAGCGCATGCATAAATATTTGCAAGTTTAGGACCTTAATATGTTCAATAAGCAAAGTGCCCAACTTTTAAAATGTTGTTACTAGTTTTGCAGAAGTAGCTTTATAACTTAATACCCTATAAACCCTTATTCCCAACAAAGTCAGTGGAACTACTTGCATGAGTAAAGGTTAGCAGGATTTGGCCTCAAGTGCAGTTTATTAATTGGCTCTTTTCATACTTTGCTTTGATTTAGATATAAAATAAGTTTTGTAGATCAAGAGAAGACTGCCAATTCTTTTCCCCCCCACACACACCCAGTGTCTGTCTTGTCAATTTAGTTGTAAGCGCCTCAGAGTAGGGACCTTCTCTTACTTCATGTTAGTACAATGTCTATTTAGTACATAGCAGCCCTGATCTCAGTTGGGGCGTCTAAGCAGGGGCGCTGGAACATTTTTTATACTGGGGGTGCTGAGAGCCATTGAACCAAACTGTAAACCCTGTATATAATGGAAACCATTTCAAGACAGGGGGTGTGGTAGCACCCCCCACCTCTAGTTCCAGCACCTATGCCTCTAAGGAGTATAATACAAATTCAAATAGGTCAAATTCAATTAAGTTACATGTGAGATGAGTTTGGCCCAATAGTTAGAGGTTAGTAAATTCTTCAATAGGATATTTAAATGACATTCTGACTAAACGTATGCTATCTAATTAAAACCAAAGTATGAAAAGAAAGCCAATGAACCGCACACAAGGCCAAATCCTGCTAATCTTTACTCATGCAAGTAGTTCCACTGACTGTGGCAATTACAATCCCAAATCCTTCAAACATTATTCATCTGTTTAATTTTAATCACTTTAATAGCCACATTGAAGTCAAAGGAGCTATTTAAGGGAGTAAAATTAAGCACATGGGTAAGTGTTTGCAGTATCTGGGCCTAAGTATAAACTGCACAGAATGCACTTTGTAAGCTTACTGTTGAGACTATACTAGCAGAGACAGAAAATGAACATACCCCCTCCCCGACAGTCAACAGGGGGATGTAAGGCAGGGCTCTGAAGGAAGGATGGGGGGGATGTGAGAGCACATGCACTCCAAGAAAGTGATTGCCCCCTCAAGACCGCCATCCACCATCTTCCCACTGGCTGGGGATAGGAGACCAAGTTAGCTGCTTTGCTCTCTCATCCTGTCTGTCCCCATCCCTAGAATAAAAAGTGATCTGAATCCTAGGAGTGGGCCTAAGCAGGTCCTCCCCAAAGTACTGGTGACAAAGTGGGAGCCCTTTAACCCTGCACTGCACCCAGTTAAATGCCTGGAATGTCAGAACAGGTAAAGGAGATACAGCACCTCTTCCCAGTGTTAAATTAATAAAGCTGTGACCTTCCATTTAAATCCATCCCACGTGCAGAGCACTACAAATTTGCGGATATCTGCTTTATATCCACGGATATAGATGCGGATATCCGCGGACCATGTTTGCGGATCGTGGATCAGATGCGGATCTGCGCAGGGCTCTACCCATGTGTCCATCATTTATTTGCCTGCACATCCTGATCAAAGGGCCAAGAGAGTTAAAAAAAATGGGCAAAGCCTTAAGGGGTGAGATTCAATGTGATTAAACAAAACCCACATTTGGAAAGAAAAATATGAAATGAGAAGAGAGTTGGAAAGTGACAATCCAGAAAGAAATGAAATGTATGTCCAGTGTAATGTGATAGCAAAAAAATATTGACTCCTGAGTTACAGTAAAATCTTCGCATAAAGCAATATCATTAATTATATGTTATTCTTTAATTAGCATTGTAAAAATATTATGCGGTTCTCATAAATGAGGCAGTCCTGGGACAACCTATTTGTCTTACTAGTGATATAGGACAATCAATTCTGAAATAAATTCCCCATCTGATTGTCCTAAATCCTTAATCTCATTAGTTTTGCATACTAATAAAGTCAAAGGGTAAAAGTAACCTGAAGAGAACATGTTCCCAGCCACATACATACATTATACTCAGCATTGCAACACTACAGAAAGATCACTTAATCACAAAAGTTATTTTGAATGGAAAAAGTAACTTTTCATAGTAAATTCCCTAGTACTCCACCTTTGCTCACACCAACTATCCACTGCAGCATACTCACCTGCAAGAATACCAATGCAGCGCTCGTCATGCACCAAAAGAAGTCTCATTGGACTGTGGCAATTGAATTTCTGACCTTCACTTAGACTAGCATGTATAAACACTGGGACTGTTTCCAAAGAGTTCTGTTTCAAGTAACAGCACAATAGTGTGATGATGCCAAACCTGGATCAAGAGAATTTACAAACTGGTAAATGGATGTTAGTAAGCTCTAATAAAGATAATATGAACACACTAATTTTTTTTTTAACTTTTTAGCAGAGACTGCTGAAAAGCATCATGAAGAATTACAAAACAAAGGCAAGGTATCTATTCAGATATATTTTAACTGCAGAAGTATTCAACTGAATGTGAAGAAAGCTCAAAACTCCACTCTGAGTAAAACAAATTAATCAGACATATTAGCATTGTTGATTCAGGATGCTATCTTTCACGTGGCTAAAAGGAAGGATGGCTGACAGAATTTGGCTGGGGAAATATCTAGATGTTTTATAGCTCACTCCTTTTTCCTTGGTAGACCTTTTTAAAAATGAGCATGAATTCATAAGCCCTGTGAAACAAGCATGAGGGCCAACTGCCAAATAAATTATTAGAAAGGATTTGTTATACAGGGGGGGAAAAAAAAGGGTGGGAGGAGAGAAAAAAAGGAGAAGAAGAGGAGAAAACGAAGTTTACTTGTTCTTCAAAAGCAAACTATTAACATTTTGAGGGTTGTTGTATACATTGGTTCAGAAAATATTTATGCTTAATAAAAATGTGAATGATTTATTTCTATTCAATTTTGTGATCTATAGTAGCACCTATAGAGGTCATCTCATTTTTTAATAGTTTCTGGTTTTTAGTTCAAAAACTCAGAAAAAGCACCCAATTTCATTTTTTCAGCATTCAATTTTTTTTTCCTTCAAGAAAAATTTAGAATTTAGCCAAAAGATATCAAAGTAAATTACTTTCTGGACAGGGATGCTGTGAGGATTAAAGGGACACCCTCAACATGCAAATCATACTTTCATCTGAAAATATTTTCTAGAGTTATAAGTAACCTCGTAGGCGCCAATCCTGCAAAGAATTTTGTGGCTGTTAAGACCCTAAAATCACACCGAGCTCCATTAACTTCAGTCGGGCTCCATGTGGTTTACAGAGCTCCCAAGTAGAGCTTATTCTGGTATCAGGACCACAAATTACTGTAACTCAAATACACTAGAGGGAAAAAAAGCTTTTTTTTCCCCTCCATTTAATTAGTGCTTTTGACAGCACCTTGTGTATCACCATTTTCACTGTTTTGTTGATCATACACAAACTTTTCTAGACCCTTCAGGAAGATTATTACTAGTAACAGAAGCAGAGCCAAAAATGAAGCAGCAGCAATCACCAGCCAGGTGTGTGCAGAGAGAAAGGCAGAGTTGGGATCTGAGCATACTTGGTGGTATTGCTCTCAGGCCCAACCAAAAACCCTTCTAAACATAAAACAGGGAAGGAGAAAAACCTGTAACAATTTTTAAAGGATTTTTTTAAAATATATTTCAGAAGATAATATTTAAAGGATACTCTTATAAAAATGATTTTCTGATAGCATACATCTATGCCTCTAATATATAGATAGATAGTGCATTACTTCTCTGAAGTGCTATCTAAGTGTTAAGTATCATGTTAATTGCTGCTATGTTTAGTTATTGACTAAAAAACCTAACTCGATGTAATATTTAGTTTACCGAAGAGCAAATATGTTAACATCTAAAAAAGGAAAATTTGCATAAGTGATACCTAATAATAATTAAGGAGTCAACTAGTGGAGTGCAATTTAGAGATATATCAAGCATGACATAGAGCAGAGAACAAGAAAATAATCAAGAAGGGAAACACTCTGGCTTGGTCTACACTTACCCCCCAATTCGAACTAAGGTACGCAACTTCAGCTACGTGAATAACATAGCTGAAGTTCGAAGTACCTTAGTTCGAACTTACCTCAGTCCACACGCGGCAGGCAGGCTCCCCCGTCGACTCCGCGGTACTCCTCTCGTCTAGCTGGAGTACCACAGTCGACGGCGAGCACTTCCTGGTTCGACTTATCGCATCCAGACAAGACGCGATAAGTCGAACCCAGAAGTTCGATTTCCAGCCGTCGAACTAGCGGCTGGGTATAGACATACCCTCTGGCTGATTTTCCTTCTAACAGCTAAGGCCCCAACCCTCCAATCTAATCCTGACTTTACTTGAGTAGTCTCACTGATTTCAATAGGACTACACATTAAAATTAAGCATGGGCACACATCTATGCAGGAGTGGTGCCTAAACAAGATTCACTATACTAAGATGTTGGGAAGGCCTCATGTACAGTGTGTCTATTTTATTGTTTATGTGAAGGAGAGTCTCTCCAACATGTTCCCTCTCTCTTTCTCCCCCTACAACACCTTTTTCCAAGTCTATGCCAGATTTATAAAGAAGAAAACTGATCAGCAAAATCCAAGCTGATCTCCTGCATTTCTATTTATGTATACTATACTACCATTAATACAGTACAGCAGGAAGAGTGCTACTATGCAAAGAGAACAGACAGAATCACAATTCCCATCAACTCTATGTAATATCCCCAAGAGGATGTGTTGGGGGGAAAAAAACTGATACATTTAAAAAAAAAAAAAAAAAAAAAAAACACATTTACCACAGTTTGATGCCACATTTAGTCACTGCATTTACAGATTATACGGCCACAGAGCTGTTACATTAAAAAGTTATTTTAAAAAGAACAGGAGTACTTGTGGCACCTTAGAGACTAACAAATTTATTAGTCTCTAAGGTGCCACAAGTACTCCTGTTCTTTTTGCGGATACAGACTAACACGGCTGCTACTCTGAAAGTTATTTTAAGTTTCTCAGCAATACTTTCTGGATTTTTCAAAATTGTTAGTACTTGCCTCCCCTCTATCCCTTTGAACAGTAATAAGAAGAGCCTCTTGTTTCCGCAGCTCTTTCCATCAGTAAGGTGCTTCCTCCTGGATCTTTTCCCTCCAATTCGCAGCTTCTTTTTAAATTTCACTTGAAAACCACTATTTCCTCCTTTGCCTATACCTCTTAATTTCCAACTCCCACTGCTACTATATAACTCTGTAAAGCAGTTCAAGATAGCATCTTTCATATAAACCTACCAAAATAAATGTGTATTATGCAGCTTTAGATTGGGTTTGTTTGCAATACGACAATCAAAGTTAAATAAACACTTTGCGTGACACAGTGTGATGGGAGAAACAAAAAATAAAATGCCTAGTTATTAAACCACGGAGATACAAATTGCGAAAAACTGACACAATGTATTAGAGCGATAAGGGGACAAGCCGCAGCCGGGCACCGGAGCGAAGCCTGGGGACAGATAAAGCGCAGCCCCGCGCAGAGCGAGGGGAGGGGACGCGAAAGCGGCCCCGGGCCAGGACACGCTCCTCGCACACAGAGCGGCGGCGCCGGCGGCCTCGGGCTCTGCCTCTTTAAGACGCTACTCAGCGTTGTTAGGCAACCAGGTTACAACAAAAACTGCTGCGGCTTCAGCCTGGGCCTAGCGAGGCCTCCCTCCCTCACCCCCCCGAGGGGCACAGACACACACCCCGAGCCCGCTCCGCAGGGGCACAGACAGCCCCGTGCCGCCCGCCCCACAGCGGGGCACAAACCCAGCGGTGCTCGCTTCTCCGTCCCGGGGCAGTTCACGGCGAGGGGCCGCAGCCCCCCTGGAGACCCGCCAGCCCGCCCCAGGAGGCAGGTGACGGGGCAGAACTACGGCCCCGCAGGCCTGGGAGCCGGGGGGTCCCTGCGCCCTGCCCTGCGCCTCAGGAGCGACCGGGACCCCTGTCACGGCTGGCGCCAGCCCGCGCAGTCACTCACCGGCTCGCTCTCGGACCCGCTGGGTTTGCAAGCGGCAGCTCACTAGCTCCCGCCCCGCCTCTCACACTTTACCGCCTCCTCCGGAGACCTGCCGCAGCCGGGGCCGCGACTGCGCCGCTACAAACAGCGCCCCCTGCTGCGTGGGAGCCGGGGCCAGACTCCCTGAGCAGCTGTGCGGGGCCTTGTCTCTTTGCTCAGGGCCCGGGAGCCAGTCCCTACTCCGCGGGACACCCGCGTACACAGGAACCCCCCTCCATACACCGAGGACCCCTTCCCTTCCCTCCCCATCCACATAAATCCCACACAGAAGACACACACAGAGAGAGCCAGACAAGGCTACTGCACACAGATACTCCATATAGTGGACCCCTTTCTCAGGGCCGGTGCAAGGAAGTTTCAAGCCCTAGGCGAAACTTCCACCTTGCACCCCCACCACCAACTAACCCTGCCCCCCGTGGCAGCTAACCCAGCCCCCCCCCGGGAAGCCCAGCAGCAGCTACCCCCCCTCCGCAGCAGCTAACCCCGCCCAGGGAGACCCCCCCTCCGCAGCAGCTGAGCCTCCGCCTCTTCCGCTGAGCACGCCGGCGCTGCTCTAATTCTCCTCCCCTTGCAGGCTTGTGGCACCAATTGGAGGAGACTTAGAGTGGGGGCTGTGTTCTCAGCAGAGGAGGCAGAGTGGAGGTGATCTGGGGCGGGGAGCGATTCCCCTGTGCGCCCCACCGTTACTGCGGGCAGCCCTCCCTGCACTCCCCCGCCCCAGCTCACCTCCACTCCACCTCCTTGCTTGAGCGGGATTTTAGGCGCCCCCTACCACTAGGCGCCCTAGGCGGCCGCCTCGTTTGCCTAAATGGTTGCACCGGCCCTGCCCTTTCTCCCTCTCCCACACAGTGACCCTGTACCCAGACATCCCATAGAGGACTCCCTCCTCCTCCCCCCACATAAATCCCACTCACAGGCACCCCATGCACAGAGGACCCCCTCCTCACATCCTATACACAGAGGACCCCCTCCTGCCAACATACACAACAACATCCCACAAACAGATACCTCATACAAAGGACTCCTGGGCTCTTCCTGCCACACACATACAGTGATTCCTCCCACAGACACCCCCATCCTCCCATACACACCACACAGAGAGAGAGAGAGAGAGAGAGATCAGATACACAGAGAACTCTCCTTTCCCTCACAAATGTACAGGGCCAACACACAGAAGTCCATACCCTCTGGGATTCCCCATAGGCACAGAATCTCCCCTCCTCACACTGACTTCATACACAGGGCTCTCAACCATCAGTAAAATTACTTTAATTTATGAAAGGTACCCCCAGAGTGTAAAAGTTTGGAGGAAAATTGTCAGAAAAAAACATAGTCAGATAGTTTGATGGAATATTTAATAATCTCTGGTCTAGAATGATCATGGGTATGTGACTGCAGAAGGGGAGGCATAGTAATCACTGACCTCTCTGACAATGAACAAAAAAATTATGCCAAAACGTTTGTAAAAGAACTCTCATTGCAGTGTTTCCACAATTGTGAGGGGGAGGGTTGTGGGTGCAGTTTGTTATCAAAAAAAGTGGGAGTGAAAATCAAGAATGAGAACTCTCAATATTTTTTGTCAGATTAGCCTCTCTGCTTCCACTCTTTACCCTGAAACAACTTCCCCTGCAAATTTTGTTTCCATATGACAAGGAGAATGGAGACTCTCCCATTTCTTCCCTTCCTATATCTCATCTCAAGAGCCCAAAAATTCGTAAAATGTGAGAGACAGAAATAAGTAACATGAATCATAACATTAAATACATTTAATTTTGTTGACAAACATTATTTTACAGCCTTAAACGCCAATCCAGTAACTGAATTAATGCAGAATGACCCTGTAGAAATCAGTGGAGCTCTGCATGGGCACCGGAGTCCTCCCACATGGATGCAGAAGCAGGACTGGGGTCTTATATGGATGCATTGTAGGACCCTGATCCTGCAATCAGATGCTCACAACCAGACATTTGCATTTGCATTTTCATCATGTCCCATTTTCTTAACTTGGGCTTTCCGTGAGAAGGAAGTCCCATGTGCAGAGATCCCACTGCATGATTAGGATCTAGCTGTGCATGGCATTTTACAAACAGACATAGTCCTTACTCAGAGGATTTTGTCCAGCACGAAGTGTGCTGTCACATGCCTTCCTCCCCCACTTCCAAGGGCTCCAATACAATAGGCAGCTCTTTCATTTCCACCCAAGGGGCGGCCCCAGAGCCCTCTTTGAGCTGCCATTCTTTTACCAGAACCTCTTCAGGATCTGGAAGCTGGTCTCAGAAATCAGGTCCGGAGCAGATGCTGAGGGGGAAAGACCTTCTGACAGAATCCTTACTTCACAATCCATAGTTCCGTGTGCAGGTGGTGGAGTCCCCTTTGGTGCATTGGCAGACAGATCTGACTTGTATCACCAGACTCCAAGACCTTTTGGAATACAGTCAGATGGATTGGGTGGCCCCCAACCAGTGCATGAAGTTGCTCATCCTGCATATTCCCCATCATGTGCTCCAGGTAAGGTAACTGCTCACATGTTCCAGGAATACCAGTCATTCTGGTATTTCTGGGAATGACATAAGCCCACCATGTCAGTGAGCACCACACCGGGGTGCCATCTTTAAGAGTGCACCACCCCACCCTTGCCCGCATGACCTTGTACACATGGTGCTTGTGAGGTTTCATCTGGTTTTGTCCTAGTACTGGATGGGGCAAACCTCTCAGAAAGATGACAGTCCGGTTTAATACCAGACTGTAACAGGGTTGGCATCCACCTCTCGCAAGTGCCCCCTTCTTGTTGGACATGTCTGCATTCTTTACTTCTGATGACCCCTTTTGGTGGTTCTCCGGTGGGTTTTCAGTGACACGGCGCTCTGGCTGAGTCACATACTGTCTGCATGTTAACTAGCACAAACCTCTTCTGGGGTATACAGTCCTCTGGGGCCTATCTCAGTACCCCTCGGGTGGTGTCTCTCTCTCTAACTCTCTCTGAGCTTTGGTCTTTAGATAGTCCAGCCCTGGTATGGGGCTGTATCCCCAGGACTTCCTCCCTGGAGACACTATCTTCTTGCAGCCCTCCCCAGGCTCAGTCCCTACTCAGTCCTAGCAGCCAGCCTGGAGCATCTCACTCCTCTGGTCCCTGCCACAGACTGTCTTTGGCTCAGTCCTAGCAGCCACCCAGAAGTTCCCTCAGTGCTCCCCCATCCCTGTCCACACTGAGTTGTCGCTGGCCCTGCTGCTCTTCCAGGCAGCCAAGCCTACGGTCCTTTCTTCTCCAGCTCTAAGCAGCAACTAACTACTGATCTGTACTGTTCTGCAGCTCCTTTTATATGGCCCTCCTGGGCCCTGATTTTGGCTGCTTCCCCTGCAGCCACTCCAGCCTGCTTGGAGGATCTCTCCACTGTTCTTTTCCTGGGATGGGTGTGGCAGAACCCTGAGGCCTCCAGGAGGCCTTTGGGCCTAGTCCATCCCATCACACAGATGAATGGCCTCCCTAGCTCCAGGACATGAGGGCAGCTTTGATCTCCACTTCTCTCTTTTTTCTCAAGCAGATCCTGCGGGAGAGTGCTACCCACCCACCCCTCACCCCTTGCTCTCTGGAGCTTGCCATTGGACCCATGCCCTGCAAGCCACCCAGCACCTAGACACATAACACGAGAAGGCTGATAATCTGCCTCCAAACTATGCCCAGAGAACATCTGCATGCTTGTGCTCCATACCATCTGTTTTCTTGCCCTTGTATCCCACCCTGACACCAATTGGCAGGACCTGCTGCCACCTGCAGAGGGCGGGGAGACCCGGTGGGCCAGTGGGTACTCCACTCTGGTTCCACAGTCCACCAGGGATATTAACTGATGATTCCTCCATGGAACTGTGAACACAGGAGTATTTGGCATGGTTCATGGAATGCCCTGATACCCGTCCCTTCTGCAGTAAGAGGGAGATCCTGGCACACATCTATGTAGAGTACATCAGGCTACAACCCTCTTCTGGCTCCTCCAGAACCTCTTGCTGAGGTTCTAGCTGTACTTCTTCTCTCACCTTTTTATCTCTGCACACCCTATCTATGGCCCCACAAAGTTGTAAGACCTTCTCATCAACCTCCTCCGGGAGCTGGCCAATATGGTTATCCACCTAACCAGGGGGAGGATGTTCAATCAAAGGGGGCTCTGTGACTGTGGGAACTAATTCCAGTCCCTTGTCAAATCCTTTGAGAGATAGCCACTGACTCCTTAGACACCTTTGAGGAAAGGTGAGCACTGTCGGGGATTCTCTGTTTAATGTGCCCTTCTGAATCTCTGATTTTTAACCTTTGACCTTTACCACTGTTCCTGTTTTTTCATTTGTTGTCCCAAGTAATCATTTGTGGCCTGGGCTCAGTGGTTCCTCCCCCACAGTTGAGGGGGCAGGCCTTTAGTTTTGGGTGGGCCTGGGCCAATCGTTTCCTGACTACCACAATAGGTACCCAGAGGATTTTAATTTGAAACGATACAATATAATCCTGAAGGTTTGATGCATGACAGCAGAGTAATAGGAGATCAACAATGGAAGTCTCCGATTAAAAATATAGTTTAAGGAGAGATTTAAATGAGTAAGTAAAAACCATTGTTAGGAAATAGTTAACACTGAAAATGTGTCAGTGGAGTCTACCTACCACACAGAGCCCATGATCTTACAATTGGATTCACATTGGTATCCCCCTGTGCTTGTGGGGAGTTCTGTTAACGTCAGCAAAGCTCTTCAGGAATATAGGAGCCTGGCCACAAGGCTCAGAATGCAGGACTGGGGCCACAAAATGATTTATAATTTCCATAAAATAACTCTTTTACCTAAAAAGAAAAAAATGCCTCAGAAATATGAAAGTCTGTAAATAAACAGTTTAGAGATGGAGCCACTTCACTCATGGTATATATTCCTCCTTCCGTTACTTTCACCTCATGCAAGTTACACCACTCCAAGCAACTTAAATTCATGGGATAAGTGAAGTAGCTGCATCCCTCAATACTGCCAACTGCACAA